TCCCGCAGGGCCGAGGGAAATAGGGGCGGGGTTCAGAGTAAAACGAATCCTCAGAGACGCCCCAAATACACCCCGGTAGAGACAGAGGCAGATAATTAAAGGATCAAACCACCCCAACCCCAGAAAAGCTCTGTCACAGGAACACCGATTACCACACGATCATGTGCTCACATTGTTTCTATGCTCTGCAGCATCAAGGCCAAACCTAGTGTGATCCTGGCACCAAACCAGCACATGGCTTCTCAGCCAGGAAGCAGATAGAGGGAAGTAATAAAGGAATACAACTGAACCAAGCCCTGGTTTATTAGAAACACACCGTTTCTGGAGAGGTGTGTTTGATTTCATCACCAGCTGTAACAGCTCCTTTAACAGCTCCTGTGAGAAGCCCATAGTATGGTGATTATTAAATCAGGGCAACATACGATGAGCTGGGTTTAATGCTTAAGTGACTGAGCTCCCACTCCCGAGGGAGCATTCATTCAATCAAAAGCCCTAAAACTCTTCGATGCTCATTAGAAACCGTGCCAGTACACAAGAGCGAATATTCTTTCAAACAGAAGCTATTTATCCCCCATTAAAGAAAAACGTCTTTAATGGTCCTGATAGAGTCCTAAACCAAATCCTAACAGTAGGCTACTCCTGAGTGCAACTCTGGCTGTTCCTCTCTTACATGTCATGTTGAAAGTCTAACTCGAGTTCTAAATGATGTTCTTCTGAACCAAAAATCTGTTTCAAATTAAAAGTTACGTTTTAATAAAATGTAACTTTCAAATAAGTCATGTTTTATCTTACCTAGTTAGTGCCTAAGATGTTAGTATGATCCCGATCCACTATTAGGTATCAATTTCCTGACAGTTTTAAGTTTCCAATACTTACCTGTTTTCTATTCAGAGCACTCAGTATTTACACTTTTTTTTTCCACCAGGAAAGTTAAGCTTCCCTGGACTTAGCTGAGATAAAGTGTACTACAAAATATGTGGACTTTCTGAAGTAACTTCCTAAGACCTCCAAGCTGGCATGTTCTCGCTATAGCTAGGTCATGAATAAGATACCTTTGATTATTTCAGTAGTTTGAGTGCAATCTAACAAACACTTGCATTAGAAGTAGTCAACATGAACACAAGTGGCTGCGCTGTATAATCATACATAACTATTATTCACAACATACTTTTGATTCATTGTCCTCTATTCCTGTCATGGGTGTTGACACCGTTCAAGGACTAGCTGCACCTCTTCCCATGTTTTACTGAACTTCATCTCATGTTTTGGCTCTTGGCATTATTTTTACACTGTTTAAAACAAATCTGCAGCGTCCCAAAGCTTATGCATGTCCAGTTTACTGTCCTGTTACACTACGTGAGGCAGTCTTAACTCCTGATGACCCAGTTGGGGCCCTTTACTGAATACTTTAGCATTCCTTTACTGAACAGCTGCTACCTCTTTTCTAGGACCCCTTCTAATCATCCAGGTATTCTTTCACTTAGGGTCTTTCTCCCATCTTGGTCTAAACAACATGTGTATACATACCTACAAATTCTAATTCTGTTTAAGCATCCAGTTCCTCAGGGATTTAAATGAATACCAACTCCACTAAAAGAAACCTGAATTGAGCTCTGCCTGCAGTATACTTCCCACTACCATGTTTCTCAAGGGCCTCTCAGATGTGTACAGGAAATAGACTGAAGATTAGATACATTCTGATCGGAAACCAGTCCCTGCCACTTGCGTTCTTGAGGATCCTGCAGCTTTATCATACTACAACCATGATGCACGATCCAACTTTACCACCACCTCATCACAGCAGGTATTTCTGGTCACCTAATGGGTAAAGCTGCTTCAAGACAAACTACGCAGCAGCCTCTACAAGGTGCTGAACAGCTTTGCTGACCCAGAAGAGGAGAAAATCAACCAACCCACACCCATTATCCAAGTCACGTAACTTCCAAAGAAAAAATAAAAATCAAACCCTTTATTTTCTTTTACAAAAATACATATTTGCAGTCATGTGATAGTTACCATAGTTACCAGTTCACAAAGTTCCAAGAAACTACACAGTGCTCCAGGTTAAATATTTAAGATAATTTAGTATAAGAATGGCCACTTAACCGATTTATGGATTAGAAATGGTATTTATCAGGGTGTGCAAAAAGAAATCTGCAAGTTAGAAATTAATGCTGAAGTGGTGTAGTTTAAGTGAAATAATAGAAACATTAAACTTTTGGTCATGAGTAATTGTATACAAACCATAACAGTATTAAAATACATCATTTTCATAAAAATACCGTTGTGACACTTTATATCTAAATAAGATATTTTTAGAAAGATGGTATGAAATATTTATCATACAAAAGCGTATTCTTATAGCAGGATTATGTCTTAAGTTTTTAAAAATTCTATCCAAGCACTTAAAAGCTGAGTTGTTTGGTTTTTGTGTAACTGTGATCCACTTGTCATATAAAGCATATGCTATGTGTACACAGCATTAACTTTATTCTTCTTGAAACTGGTCAAAGTACAACACTGCATGGGGAGCAGCTGAGTTCTCATATACTACTGAAACTTGCTCAAGAAGAGGAACATCACATTCTTGTTGCTTAATACTCAAGAGGCAATTATCCTTTATGCATGTCTGCTATACGCATATACTGACAATTCCATGCTACAAACTTTTCATGCCACAGTTTGACCTTTCCATAGGCTTTTTTCAGCTGAAGCCAACATCTCCTCCCTCCAGCCCCATTACCTCCTCAAACACCTTAAGTAAATAAAAAAATAAAGAAATAACAGGAGCTGACAGCTGTGATCTCCAACTGAAACAGATTTTGTATCAGCTAACTCTACTGAAATCACTGATTTTAAAATCCATACTAGAACACTACTGTGTTTATTTCCTGTGATGAATACTGCATGCTTACATTTACACTAGTGATCCGCTTTAAATCCTGGATGTCAGCAGTTTAAAAACCACCAATTAGTATACAATTACTTTATATTTAAGGCATGTGAGTAAGAGCACTCTATAACTGACTTTGAATGGGAGAGAATTCTCTTCAGGAAATGTCAGCTGCCTTCTCTTCTTGAAAGATGCTAAATTAGTATGTGGTTGGAAAGATGGTTAAGAAGGAGGAAGAAAGTTAAGAATGGATCTGATTATTTCACATGTCCCTGAAACAGTTTTGAGAGCAATGATTTTCTAGTAAAATACCTCAATTATAATGTATTTTGACCAAGACACATAGTGGTAAGTCCATGTCAATTGGACTTATCACTAGATGAAAATTAAAAGAAGAAAAAAAAAAGTAATCAGATACTACATCAACAGGACAGTACAGGATCAATATTGCTTACCCCTGAGTTAACAGGATTGGGTATAGCAGCACCAATTGGAAAACATTCTGCAATGCCAGCACTGCACTGTGGTCCTAGACTGTGGTATAGTTTCATATGCCCACAGGTTTTTCTTTAAGAGCACTTATTTCAGACATTATTAGACACAGGAATTCTTTTAGTTGCATTGGTATTTAAGTGGAAGAAACAGTGAAAATAGTATAATGGGCTACACAATTAGTACAGTCCACTTGTAGTGTTAATATACTATTTAGAGCTGTGTTCCCAACTTGGTAAGCCACTGTCTTCTGTGGAACTAAATCTGCCTTCTGTTTTCTGCGCAAAAAAGTCTAGTAGAAATCATGTTGTACCAGTTTTGAGCAAGATGTCCTGTAAGTCATCTGGAAGTGCTAGTATAATGTCATTGATGTGTGTCTGCAGCTTTTTCAGTGTGTCAGTTTTCACAGGAAGATGCTCTCTATCAGCCTGCAACTGCAAAGGCACATAAACCATGATTTCTACTAAAAATGTAATTTTACCTTAAGATACACCAAAGTGATATATTAGCAGATCTGCAAAATTAATTGCTCACTTGCCGACCGAGTAGGAACTTGGACAATAGCAGTTCTCCTCAACAGCCACACAGCAGCACGAGCTAACACTGATTTGGACTTTCAGGAACCACAATTTGGTCTTCTTTCCTGAGGATTCACTCTTGCTCCCACTCAGATCAACCACAAAGTTCCAATTAGTTTTAAAACAATGAGATCAGCATGATGCTTCCAACATCGCTGGACACTGTTGGGAAGCCAGCTGACTTTTCAGGCATGGCTGGAATGAACTGTTCTTGTTTTAAAAACCTGAATGACTGATTCCTTAAGCTACCTAGATCTTAAAATATTTTCACTGAAGTACCTATAAACACTATTGTAGGCATCTAGTTAAGTTATGCGAATTTGAGCCCATGTTCAATTCAGTTACTTACCAGTTTATTCTTTAACTTTAAGACAAGATCCACCGTTTCTACTTCAGTATGCTTCTGACTCCAGAAAACCAAGTTCTACAAGAATAAAAATTAAACACTGTAATATTTATAGCAACATATAACATTTTCAAAAGTCATATTAATTTACACCTACTGTTCAGAATGGGTCTGTCTTCCCCTTTTCCTTATTCTCATGCCATTTACAAAACTCATTTTACACATACACTGTCTCTACTGGGAACTACATCTGCTTTATTTGCATATTTGCCCAGGACTCAGCATAACAGGAGACCAACGCACAATCACAATACAAAGAAAGAAATGAAAAAAACCCATGCCAAACAGGCTTAGTTTCCAAACTAGCACCTACAATGCAAAGTGCAGTGAATGTCACCAAATCAGACCTGCCGGCACCATGAATTATTAAGAAGTTTCCAGGCAGCACTTCTTGTTTCTAGGGCATTAAAGGAGAACATGTTGTTGATAACTAGCAAAATATACCCATTAAGTGAATTTTCTTCTGGAAGTTCTGTTCCCCACCCCTATTAAAGACATTTGCTCGTGTACAAAAAGATGTGAACACTTGGATCTAAAGAAAAGACTAATAAGGAGCAGAATCAGTAAATAAGTTTGTGACATTTCCTTTTCTTTGCGATAGGTTAACATCAAATATAGTCAGGTAGATTCTAGGTGATACAACTGACCTAGCTACTGCCCTGCAACCTGTTCAAATAGAGCAGCCCAAATAATCTATTTCGGCTGCTACGATGTAATGTTTGGGAATTGACAAGGCAAGGGATAAAAATCAGTGACTTTTTGAAAATAACCAGCACAATTTTTGTTTGTTTTAAAGCTGTGGTATTGACTGTTTTTGTTCTTCCCATTCCCTCTTTAGCTGCACAATCTCTTCTCCTCTCATGGTACCTTCCTTTATCAGCTGTTCCAACTTAAATTATACACTGTGTTATGTATTACACTTCAGCTTCTTAAGTAAAGAACGGATCCTACAACATAAGATCATTTAAGTGGCATTTTGTTTTATGTCAATGAACAGATTTCACTTCTCAGCTTTCAACTACTATGGATCAGTTGTAGGCTTATTTCTATGCCTATCTAATTAGTTGTCAGTTTTCTATAGTGCCCACCTTCAAAGCTACAAACTATATCACAACTAAAAACATGTTGTCAAATGAAATGCCAAGGAAGGAAGCTGAATGAAATAACAGTATCAAATATGAGGAAAAACCTTTTGGTGTGTGTGTATTCATATTTAAAATACACAACAAAAAAGTAATGAAGATACATTTTATAAACCCCACAGCAGTTGTTATAAAAAAGTGAACAGCATTTCCTATTGTTCTCTTTTGCTCTAGTTCTAGCTTGTACTTGGTTAACAAAATCAAGTTTTGCTAGATCAGACTTAAAATTGGTATTATGTTAAATCACTGAAAACAGCAGGAGTAAAACTGACCTGAAGGAGAACATATTTTTATTATAATGTGGTAAATATAATCATAAGCCCACATTTTTCTAACCTCATTACAAAGGGCTTCTAAATGAAGGGCCTCCAACTTCTGCGTCATTTCTTTCTGCCGGCTCCTAAACCAACCGTCGAAGTTTGGTGATTTCAAAAAATGCCTGGTAAAACACAGAAGCAAAATACATTTTGTATTTTAATTACAGTTTTAGGAACACTGTTTTCTATGTCATCAAATGTAAAGTAATTATGTTTGAGGCTGAAGAAGATATTAGGACACTTTTTTTGTTTGCTTTCAGAAAAGTAACCTGAAGTGAGTGTAACAGGTGCTTCTATTAATCAAGACAAGGATTGAGAAAACAACATAAAGAAAAAGGTGTCTGAAAGACAATAAAGATGAGGAATCTTTCCAGGAAAAGAGCGAGGCTCGGTTTGAAATATTCTCCATTTTATCTTCGTGTTTGATTGGAAGGGCAAATCAAGCTAGAATCAGAAATAAAACCACAAATAATACTGGTATACAGAGACCTGCAGTGCCAGCAGCACCCTATGAAAACCATTAACAGGTTACAGAGAAATGTAAATGAGTAAAGTATACTAAGCACTACCAATTCCTATTAAAGCATATATTCTAGAAGTAAGTCTTACTCAAATCAATACTGATAATAGAGGTTTGTTCAGGAAAAGAGTGTTCCTATTACTGATTTGTCTTCATTTATATAATTTATTTTTTATGCTGATGAAAGAAATGACCTGTAAAGTCCTATCCAGTCCCCTTTTAAACCTGATGTGAGCTGTGGTCCTGCTTTTTCCAGTGTCTTCATGAAGTCATCTTGGCTAAACTGTCTCAGCTGTGGTGGACTCTGTGGAAGGAAAAAGATAATCATTCACATCCATAAGTGTTTTCTCTAATCACCAATTTCCAGCTCATTTGAATTACATTTCCTTACCTTCCATGGTGATATGCATTTTTGCAAAGGCATTAGACTTGCCACATAACGTTCCTAGGGAAAGGAAAAAGAAAGGTTGTTTGCATACCAGTACTAAAGATACACAATCCACGTGTATGTTTACTTATCACTTGTGACCATAGTATATTCTCTTCTAAGTACTGGTACAGGGTGGGGCCATGCATATTTACTACATGAGAGCATAAGAAGGCGCTTATCTAATACCATTTGTATTTCCCAACTACAGAGCATTATGTCAGCAAGACTCAAGAAGGACACGAGGGGAAGGACAGGAAGCAAACGTGTACATGGAATATATATATCCTGTACTCCAGCCACCTGTAAATCATTTCTCTCCCTTTTGCTGACAGGTACCCTCATATCACAGGCGATTCCAAACAGCGATCCCACTTCATATCAAGTGTCTGGAAGTGTTTTTCCAAGTCCCTCATACAAAAGCTTATGCCCATACTTGTAAAGCAAAGTTTGGTATTTAGCTGTATATTCAAATTGGCCTTGTTCTGAGCAGTGGGGTTGGATCAGATGCCCTAGTTAACCTAAATTCATCTCTGGTTTTATGATCTAGTGAAGAGCTCTGTACATGCTGTTTTTCCCCAAAGGTACTGAAGTGTTCGAAATAGCCATCCATACTAAATTTAATCTGCCCATTTTTTTTCTTGAACAGCAGTAATAATGAGGAAAACTGAGACCAGGTAAGAGAAAGCAAATTCTGTAGCTCCCGCTACATCATGTTTGCCATTAACATTTCCAAACAGGAAATGAGACAGAGATAAAGCTGAATTTCCTAATAATCTTTTTTTTTTTCCAGTTCTTATCCTGCAAATACTGCAGTAATCTGAAGAAACAGTTGCCTTGCAGCCATCAAACAGCTGCCCAAGGAGGTTTGACTGTTCAGATTTGTCTACTGCAGGTAATCCAGTGGCAAAAAACCTCTAAAATCAACAAACAAAATAAAACCAAAACAAAACCCAAATTGTTTACTTTTGGAGATAGACACTGTTCTTTGAAAGTTAGATAGACCATGGGCAAAAATGGAGTTGCAAAGATAAGTAAGTCTGCAAAGAAGTAAGAGAAGTAAACTGATTGCCTAGAGGACAAGTAATGAAGTGCTCTGTCTGGACAAACAGATGAAAGGAACTGAGATGTGCTAGATAGTTGCAAGCATATATCAGTGGGTGCACAAATATAACTAGGAAAGGGAAAGGTTCTCTAAACTTTAATGATTGCATGGAAAAATACTACCACTAGAAGACAGAATAAATACTTAAGGGAAAAAATAAGCCAGTCTAATTTACCAGTCGAATTGGTTGATCTTTCATTTGTCAATAGAAAGCTTACCTTCTCGTGTCCCCTCCACTATCATAGCAAATAGGAATTTGCTGCAAGAGTACATGCTTACAGAGCTCTTCTCATTACAAAGCACTTTTCAAGTCTACCTTTCCACTATTGACATTTCCCAAGGGCAAGGGAAACACTCTTCCACTTAAAAAAATAAAAAAAATAATTCAACAGTGGATATGGGTTCCAAGGGGAAGGATTAAAGACATTTCCCTCTTACTCCGTGTTTAAATACACACACAGTTTTGCACTGCATAAATGCTATATAATATATCACAAGCAAACATCCGAAAACACCTTCTAGCCACATATACAAAGAAGCATTCCTTCCTGAGATGTGAACCTTTTGTCTAGATAAATGTTTCATTTCTGACATTAAGCTATGGCCTTCATAATTTTTATATCAAGTATGGTAATTAAAGAATTGTAAGTCTGCACTATTCTAGAAAAGTCAAGAGACCCCAGGGGTACACTGCTAATTACTGGACAGTTCCTGGACTTACTCAGTGAGAGTAACACCAAAACTCCATTATTACGTTTGTAAAACCCCATTAGTTTAAGAACTCACTAATGGAATAATGAAACTTTCCGTCAATTCCAAAAAATAGCGCCGAAGAATCACACTCTGTGCTTCTGTAGGACGCTTCTGTTGTACTCCCTTAAAAAAAAAAAAAGGAATTATATTTTACAATAAGTCTGTTACCCCAAAATATGTAAGTAGTTGTGTTATTTTTTTGTTTGTTTGTTTTTTTTTTTTTAAAGAATATTTATTCCAGTGTTTCTGTATTCATTTGTCATGAGCACCCCTTACCCTGAACCAGGAAAGAAAAACAATAGCACCAAGTCTTTTTGCATGGATATTCACCCCTTCCATTGCTCCTTTTTTGCTTTCATGTAAAGAAATTCAAGGAAATAAAGATTTCTATAAATAGTTAAAGTTTGGAAGCTCTGGTTCTCACACACCTCACGTGTGAGATTCTAGACCAAAGAGACTAGAGGGAGATGGCAGAGGGTGGAAAACCCAGAACAGATGAACTGATCAGTTCTCCAAATTATTAAGCTAACTTCTTGAGCTCTGCCATTCATGTTGTTATGGACACTGCTGACAAGGTTGTGCATCTATCCAGTTATGAACTGGGGCAAAGGAATCAGAACCCAGTTTCATTTCAGTTACACAGAGCTCAGCCTTACATTAAAACACTGTATGAGAGTACACAGAACAGTTTCCATTCAAAGAGACTTGCAGTATTACCTTTTGTAACTGTTTAACAATTTCTTCATCTTTGTTCAAGTATGGCTTGTAAGAGGTATAAACACCTAAAGAAAAAAAGCAGCATATAGCCAAAGGAAAAATGGGGTATGCTTTTCACAATTTACATACTGCTAATTTAACTCTGAAGCAACTTATTACCAGGTTTGGAGTCCAAAGTTTTTAGGTTCTTCAGTTTTTTCACTTTCACCTGCTTTGGAACTTCACCTGCCAAAACATTTAAAGCCACCTTACTTGAAACCTCCATCTCTATTTCTAGTTACTACACTTGATGTGCTATACATTGCATAGAAGACTAATATTGTAAGAAGCATCAGGAACTCCGACAAGCATCCAAGTATATATCCAGAGACATCCAGTAAACATGAATAACACCATACAGGCTTTTCATTTTACAAAAAAACCCCAACAAAACAAAAAAAACCCTAAAAGGATGACCTTCCCAATCAAAGCAGCCAAAGAAAAATACTATTAGCAGTGAATGACTGTTCCGTTAATTACAAATGTTATTCCATCTTCCTTCGTTGCTCTTAGGGTAAATCTTTCAGGAACCTATCTTCAGTACCTCAGCCAAACTAAAAATTGTATACAAGAAATTAAAGCAGTAGCCATGGATTAAGTGTTGCAAGAAAATTAATTCAGTCTCCTTTTCCATAGGCCAAACCGAGGGGTTTTTGTTTGTTTTTTTCACATATCCTTCTCCAGCCAGAACACCCTAAACCCTTGTTAACAGTCTTGTAACCTCAGCAGCACCTTCCTCTTTTAAATATAGTTGGACGCTCAACTTCAGAAAAGATAACAGTATGAACTGCTATTGAAACTGCAGAGTGGTGAGAAAAGGGAAAAGGACACCACCACCTTCACCCTCTTGCCCCCCCCCCAAAATTTAAAAAAAACCCACAAGCTTTCTCTTTCCTAAAGAAATCAAATTCAAATTTTTAAAGGCAGGTCGGGCAGATACATCTCTGGAACTTCCTGGGTAAGCATTTCACGTAGCTGCACCAAAACTTTAGAATTCCATGCAAATCTGTATCTCAAATTTGAAAGCAACCTGTGTATATGGCTTTGCACAGGTTTTATAGTTTAAGATTCTCTTTTCCAAAACTTAACTATGCAGCAGCTAGGTAAGCCCTCCCCAAACCCCACAGGTATTCTGAAGCCGGAACAGGCATGGTATTTTGAAGTAAAGCAAAATCGTAATTCATTTGGTGTATTCAGGAATGGAATGTAACTTATTTTAGAAAAATTAATTTTATGGTGTATTATCCTAACTGGGTATTTATGCATTCCCACTGTCACAACAAACAGCTACATTTAGGAATTTCATACAGCAATTAAGAGTACTGCAGTATGTTATTACAGGCGAGCAATTGACATGTCATCCAAAGATCACATTAAAATTTTCCTCAATCATGTAAGGAAATCATCCAACTTGAACAATTCCGTAATTACTGGAAAACTGCCAGATGAGAATTATATTATCAAAATACTGTCAAACAAACAATCTTTTATATTACTGTAGCATTCAAACTCAGCATTCACATGGGTCTTGCTTTCTGTGCACTTCCTGTGATTAATTTAGTACATTCTTTCCACCCTAAAATTAGTATCAGTAATAAATTGTATTTCTCATTTTAATACATTATTGGTAGAAATTCAAAACCAGGATTGAGTGAAAGGTAAAACATTATTACTAATGAGTATTATCACCTTTTGCATTTAATATTCTAGATTTGGCAACACAAGACATACAGTACTGCAGAGCCTAATTTCACTTGACAGATTTACAACCATGAGAATTCCATTCATATTAAACTAAATTAATTGAATTACATATGCTTGTAAATAAATAAGCACGCAGTTATATCTTGTCACACAGAATTGTAGAAGATATTGTACTTTACCTGGAAGTTTAAGATCTCCAATTCGGACAATGTGAGGCCAGTGCTGAAGTGTTTTAGCAAAAAAAGGATTTGTCACCCCTAGAATGACAGATGGTCTAGAAAAATAATGACAATATTTAAAATATGAGAGCAGGAGCTTCTGTCTTAATGAATAACAAAAGGTCAACTTTAATTCTTAACTTGAAATTATTTTCTTTTTGTATTGGAGTTACATTCTAAGTTGCATGTAAAAGCACAGCATGTTTGTCAGTTTTTAACTTTAAGAAAATAGCAAGACCGATGTGTCATAAAGTCCAGACAGTAGCAGACAATAAGAGCGATGATATCTGCTTACTCTTGGCTAAGTTCTGTCCATGTGCAATGATGAGAACAAGGTATTATCTGATTTATTGTCTGGCTTTTCTTTTTTTTTTTTTTCAAATGAGCAGGAATCTGACCCATATTTGAAAGACAATTTGCTACTTTTCAAGGTTAGATTACCACAAACTCCCAGTACTGTGTGACTGCTGCATGCATGAAACTTCTTAGTGGAGCTCCATCAAATTGCTCCTCTCTCACTAAAGATAATAAAATACACAGAATCTGCATCATCTGGATCCTTCTCAGAGCCACTGCTTTAAAAGCCTGTTTGCCATCTTTCCTTTCTGTTTTCTGTAGGAAAGCCAGAGCAATTCCAGCTTTGTTTCAAATCCTAATGCACATACTGAACAACCTTGCTATTCTGCTAAACAGATGCAATTTTTAAACATGGGTTACTACAGTTTAACCAAATTCTTCCTGCAATTATTTTTAGAAACTAAATTATATACTGCATAACCCATGGAATACAATCAGGAACATAGTGCCTGTGTTTGTGTGTTTTTCCACTGCTGTATCTCTGGCAATATTTTTGCTTAGAGGAAAAACTGGGAAAAAAACCCCAAACCATGAAACAAACAAAAAGCACAACAACCACCACTGCCTGTTCAGAAAAAACATATAGAGATCAGTGAATCTGACACATGCACTCCATTCCCAACTCAAACTGCACTTAAATAACATACAATAAGAAATACTGGAGGTGTGTGCTCTCAAAATAAAGGCTACAATTAAAGGGGAGGGGGGAAGTAAGTGTGTCAAAGCAGTTCCAACAGAAATGTTTTTGTAGACTTATGCTCTTAAAAAACAATCTTAATTTCTGAACGATTTACAACATTTTCCTAATAAATTTAGGGAAAATATATTTGCTTTTTCCATTATTGTCAAAACTACGACACTGATTGGATTAACTTTACAAAACAGCTATATAGATGTTGAATTCTAGAAGTCACTTTGTTTAGTAATTGCTTAAAACTAAAAACAATTATGGAACAATTTCCCAAGGAGCTATAAAGGACCTGGCGTAGCACAGACAAACCCTTCTGGAAAAGCCAAACTTATTCTGTACACAACTATCCTATGAAACTCAAATGTAGTTTAATTATGACATTGTTCCATAACTTCTTGATGCTATCTAACTGGAGTGAAAAACTTAAAAACCAGCTACTTATTGCACTATATAAAGGCAAACCTTATTTATAAGGAGTATAAGTGTAATTCTCTAGTAACAGAAATTCAGAATAGTTAAGCAGTATCTTAAAACAAAGTTATGAGTAGCTTTGAGCAACACCTTCACAACAAAGTTTGATTTACTTACGGGGCTTGTGTGCGAGTTGTATATTCTTTGAATTCACTGTCATGTATGGTGAAGTACGGCCTGAAATCACTGCAGTACTTTAATGGTGAAATACAACTGCAAGGTAGAAAGAGGATAAGCTTGGATGTATACAGTGGAAAATCTAATATTTGTAATGCTTTGCTATATTCAGATCAATGTACAATGGCTTGGTCATTAGTTAGGAAGCTCCATGACATTTACCTAACAAGTGCCAACACGGTTTCTGAAGACTCTGATGGTGATGGTGCCATCACAACAAGTGGTTCTCCTAGCAGTACTAGTTCCCAAAGCATCTGGATGTGAAAGAACACTGGACAGAAACACCTAAAACCAGATTGAGGTATTTTAATACACTTAACATAACCAGAAGATATATATATTTGATTAAGAACTGGATAAAAAGGAAGTCTGCAGTAGTGTTTAACAGTCATATGAAATATACAAAATACTTTTGTAAAATGGAACATTTAATTAATTTGCTTATTTATTGCTCTTTCAGCCCCCATGTTGTCTGTACTGATTTTTAGCCAGCTTTACAGAAAAAGAATATTAAACAATACTGATAAATGTTAGCTTGCAAGCTACAAGATATTTGTTACGGAACCATCACACTTTTTTGACTTGAGGGAATTCACAGCTAGAAATAAATCAGTCCAAACTCCTACCTGAAAAGATCTACTTCATGAACAGTTGGTAAAGCCATGGAGATCTGAGCATCTGCCTAAAAGACATCGCAATGCTTGGTTTTTTTAAGTCATCAGAATTCCTAGGTATTAAATGAAACAGTTTCCCTTAAATGCTTACAGACAGTAGATGGTATATACCCTAATTATTTACTACTGCAGTATATACATCATCTCCACAAGTATCTCTTTTTGTGTGGTAAAAGAAAGACTACCCCCAACACACACACACCATCTACAGGCATGTGACTTTCAGTCCAGAAAAGATTGAAAATACTGAGGCTGTTTTAAACAACAGCCACATAGCACATGAAAGCCCAGATTTGGTTTATATCCACCTTCTATGACTAAAAAAATTTAACTCAATTTTCATCCTCAGAAAAAAACCAACCCCAACCCCAAACCAGTTTAGTATAGTTTCACCCATTAAAAGGATGTTCAAGTTTACTAATTTTGTTGGCCAACCATCCTCTTCCAGGAGCTGGACATGCCTCTTCTAAAGCACTTGGGGTAACTGGGATAGAATACCTTTTCTATGAAGAATCCAACTCTAGACTCCGCCACTCAAAAGTTTCAAAGACTCTGGATTTCATTATTATCAAAGTATATGAGGATTTGCTATCAATCTTTTATGAACAAGTTTAACCTAAAAGAATGAAGGCAGATACTCGGCTCTGACTTGAGGTTATATACAATAGAAGCATCTAATCTCTACCTGGTGCATATTCTGTACTATTGGTGTTGTTCCAGGCTTGTCACGGTATGTTGGAATTCGCAACTAGGAAAGAAAAAGAAAGATTTTTTTTTTTAGCTTGCATCAATTTCAGCAGAGACTTAAAATGCTGACTTACAGACAAGATGTAACATTTCAAGATGATATACTACAGTATGACAGTTGATTATCTCTACAGAACAACCACATAATAGTGAATACATAGCTGAAGACTTCAGATCATCACTATAGAAATCAATATGCAACACTATGTACACTACTACATTGTCAATTGAGTACTAGAACATAAAAATTGTACCTCAGTTGAAAAAGACTATTATAACATTAGTCACAACTGATTTCAATAAAAATATGTTTAAATGTTGGAGAGAATGATCTGAAATCAGGTTGTGGGGTTTTAAGGTGGTACAGAATTACTTTTAGAAAAATTCCTCTCTTAAAATCAGACATCCTGGTGGGTATAAGGCAGAATCTAAACAGACTGAACAACATACATACATTTTCCTGACCTCAGTCTGCATCTAGAAGTCGTGATTGCTACAAATTCAATCACACTGGCAACTGGTGTGCACAAATGGATGCAATTTATACTCAGCAATTAAAAATGACTGCCTAGACTGCGAAAAACCAGGGGCAATATCACTGAAGACAGTAATTATGCCTTTACTCAGCTTAGGGATGCAATTTCAACTCTCATGGATAAGAACTACAGCCAAGAGAAATCAGACAATACCCTAACAAGACATATCTGACACTCACCATTATCACCCAGCATCCAGAGCACTGCTTTATTAAATCTGTGCTTTCAGAACAGCTTCAGAAACTTCTCCTCCCTCTCCCTGGTGATGTACATGCATCTAGCCATAAACTAAAGAGTATCTACTAAGAATGTACTTCCAACTATAACCTCTAGATCCATGAAATCCATTTGATTGCATTTCATACAAAGATGCTATGGCTCCCAGAGGCCCAGTTCCTAAGCATCATTCAACCTCTACAGTTCCTCCCCATGCACTAGATACACCTTTAATAGCTTTCTTCAGACATATTTCATTTTCATTGAAAATTATCAATAGACAAAAAAATTAATTTCTGGTGTGGGGCCCAGAAAATAATTTTACTTGTCAAACTTTGGGAACAAGAATGATTTTCACCAATATATTTAATTTGACTGGAACTTAATTCTCAGTATTTGGAAGTGTTACTTAATGTCTGATTTGGCAAATATAATTAGCATTAGTCTCCTATAATCCCCAAAGGATAATATAGACACTGCAATCAGTAGCTGTATTGAAGCATTGCTTTTTCATATCTACAAAAATGACATGTTAACTTATGCACTATAAGATCCTCCTCTCCTTCCCCCAATTGAGGAACCTAATCAAGATCTCCCAGACCTTCACTCTGAGTCAAGTACACATCCACTCCTATTCTGAAATAGGAGATGCTGAAAACAAGGCAGAATATGGTGAGTACCTACAAAGTAAACAAAGGGGAAAACGCCCTCAGAGAAAAATAAGTGCAGGAGTATTTACCTTCATTATAATACCCATAACAGGCAAATGCAGTATTTTCCCTGGAATTGGTGGTGGCCAACGATCAACATCGCTACAAACTTAAAGAAAATAAAGTATAATTTAAAACAAGCTTATATATGCTATAACCCATGATACTGCAGTCACTTCTGTGTACATGGCAATCTTCAATTAGTGCTGATAGCCCACAACACTGCTACTTACCACTTGAGCACTCTAAACTCTAAGGGAGTTTTACAGCCTTTTTGAGCTTCTTAATGTATTATTTGGTTAGGACTATAGAGTTTTTTTACTTCAAGAAAACAGTATCCTCTTGTCTTCCTTTTTTTTTGTAATGACTAGACTTGCAATTAGTTGAAGAAATGTTTTATGAGAAAACATTCAAGTACATATTAAGAAACTTGGAAAAGAAGATGCACATTTACACACATTAGCCACTGTAAAACAGATAAACACAAGTAGTTAAGAAAAAAAGCTGCCTTTCTAGCTTGGCTAGAAAGTTTTTCAGCATTTTGTTGTAAATAATTATGAATATCATTACTAATTCTAGTAGTTTCTGCAGAGCTTATTTTGTTCATAATACAATCTGTCAAAACCCCCTGTTTCTTTACAGGTCATTAAAAAAATACTATTCCTTCATCAAGAACGGTTTCTACAAATTACCACTTGGTGAAAGCACAGAGACATGAATGTTCTGTAGGGCAGACACAGCACAAGGACTAGACAATTCTAGGCAAAGAGCAAATCACTTTCCCATCTGGCCCTCTCTGACTCCTAAAGTTCTACAGTAAGGCTGAGGCAGCTGTTACCAGTGCTGCTCTGCTGCTTCTTCCCTTTGCTCAAAGGAAAAAACAGAACAAAACCAAAACCAACCAACAACCAAACAAAAAAAATCACACACCACCCCCCATGCAGGATGACATTTGTACAGTTGCTTAAAGGCTGTCAGAACGCCTAAAAGGAATCAATTTTGAAGACTGCAAACTAAGGATTGCCATCAGCTGAACAGTGGTCCTGAAACGAACCACAAAACCCTAGGTGTTTTTTAGGGGAGAGCTTCAGCTCTCCCATGGAGGACCCAAAATTAGATTAGCTCTGTTCAATGATCTAGAAATCAAGCCAGGTTGCTAAAGTTTCAACCCTCTACCCTGCAAGAAGACAGAAACACAAACTAGAATATGACAGTGGTGTTTGGTATCTCTCTAAAAGAAGTATGTGATATTCTAAGAGCATTTCCAGAACAACATAATAGTACCAGTACCTGCTTCCAGGAAAGCTTCACTTTTTTCAAAATACTCTGGAGCTATTTGCTTAAGCATGGTGCGGAAGAGATGGACATAAGGCAGCTTGCTGATGAGGACCAGCGACTGGAATAGAGTAACAGAGCACAAATATAACTGTAAGTTAAGTTTCCACTCAGTTCTAGTGCAGTTCTACTGGTTACCCTCAGAGAACGTCAAGTGTGATTCTTCTCACACATGCAAGTCAAGCTCACATGTGACTACAGGCAACTGCAAACAAACAACTCCCCAAAGTTCCCAACTTTTTAATTTTAAACAACAACAAACTGTTCTGACAGTGCACCTGGAACGTAGCATAGCTGATGTAGCATTGAGCCAATTTACTATAAACCAACAATGAATTGAGTTGAGAGCAAGATATTCTTCCTGCTCCTCTGAGGTCACTGAAAAATAACTAATTTCTGAATTAACATTTTCCTAAAAGAATTTAAATTACCTTCTGGAAATAGCCTCTTTTTAATGATTTGTCTCGAACTTGTCTGAAATAAACATAGCCATAGTAATAAGCTGGATCTTTCTGCAAAAGAAAGGAAAGAATTCAATACAACAACCTTATGCTGTCCTTCTTTATATAGCATTCTGTATGCTTTCTAAAAGCTTATTTCCCTGCAAGCTCCAAAGTTGATTAGATACAATAAACTAGAAAGATTACTCTGTTTATTGGCATTATTTTTTTTAATAAGTACTTCAAAGAGAAAACACCAGCGTGTGCAAACAGCTGAGCTTTCTGGCTTTACTATTTTTGTATCTACAGTCTCCTGACAGGACATGAAAGCAAAAATAGAAGTAATTTCCTGAGGAATGAATCAAGTCATAATTTCGCAAAGTAGCACTAAAACAATTTTAGCAGTTAAAAACCTTAAAGCCCTGATTTGAAAAGGTAAAAACTAGTCTTTCAACGTATTAGTTTTTTATAAAAGGCTCTTGCAGTATTAAAGAAGCATGCTCTCACATTTCAAAGATAAAGCATCAGCTTCATCCTTCCTACAAACAGGAATTAAAGTATTTGCCACATAACCAGAATCAGACTCCAACTACCACAGCTAAGGCCTCAATATTCCATACGGACAGGAGGAGAACAACTTTTAGGCCATTACCTCTTCTAAGTAAAGGCTCCATCCTCGAAAAAATGAAGGGTGGAAACAGAGAAAGGCATCTCCATTTCCTTGTTTTTGTTTTTTTTTTCTAAAGTTATAAAGCTCTTCAGATTTCGGGTTTCTAGTCAGTAACCAAATCAGAGTGATCTTCAGTTTAATTCCTTGCAATCCAAACCCCATAGTCATAAAACTTACAGAATAGTTAACAGAACTAATTTTTAGTTAATTGTTATGATAATGACATGCTACAAAAAACATTTGCTGAGCTTTGTCTTTCAGGACATCCAGTTCAGAGATTCTGTTTTACAAGCATTAAATTTAAGCATGAAGACCCATAAATTAACATTATCCACAAGGAATTAACTTCATTTTTCCTTATTTCCAACCTTTAAGTAAACTGGTAGATCTCTATCCAATTGGTCCAGAAAACAACAGAATGAGACTTTCCTTCCAGGAGACCGTCGAAATCTAAAACAAAATTGTGTGTCCCCAAGACAGCCTACACAGGGGAAGAGATAAAGAACAAGTACAGTATTCTGAGATTGAGCCTTCTTTAACATGAGGACTTGTTTACAGACAAAGAGGTACAATAGTTTTGGTTCATTTATCTTGTACTGCTGCGACCATTTCTATGTTTATATTTTTATAAATGAACAATTTGGCATCTTTGGCAACAATAAATATCCTGTATTCAACAAGGGCAGGGGTGGGGGAAGTCAGCCTGCCTCACAGTGTGTTTATTAAACTGTCATGTCCTTAAACAGCTCTGCCAATGACTGTCACAGAATCACAGACTGGTCTGGGTTGGAAGGGACCTTAAAGCTCATCCAGTTCCAACCCCATGCTATGGGCAGGGACACCTCCCACTAGACCAGGCTGCTCCAAGCCCCGTCCAACCTGGCCTTGAAAACCTCCTACTGTTATTACACATTTTACCGATCTGCCTGTGTAGTCCTGATCATCTTAACCACATGTCATTTCTCTGTTTAATTACTGGACTTAGCCTATTTTGACACCAAACAGTTCATATCACAGAGGCACACCATAAGAGTGTATTATGCTGATTATGTTGTGCAGGTGTAAGACTCACTATTTTTGAAAGTTGCAAAACTAACTGCAGACAACTAAGTAAAACTGAGTACTACTTCCCAGTAATACTGCCAAGGAGTGGAGTTTCCCTTCATTTATATCAAAATCAATTTCTGAAAGAAAAATGTAACTAAGTATATTGACTACTTGCAGTCTGAAATAAATTTGGTTTAAGTTTGTATCAGATATCAAAGAAATTTTCTGCAGGTGGAACATGAGACCTGCAGTATCAGGACTTGTATCACTTATACTCTCATGGCTGTTCTCCCTCACCATCACAAATGTTGTCTCCTGTTAGAAGAAACTTCAAACAGACTTTAGTTCAAGTAGAAGCTACATAAGCTGAACAGAATGTGCTGTTCACGGGAATAGTGATAAGGTGGACTGTTAGAATCTGAAGAACACAAAGATACGTTACTTATTTTAGTAAACCTGTAATAAAAAGTCCCTTTGGAACACAGTGTTATTAACAGGAACACAATCAACTGAAAGACAATCTCCTGAGCATTGCCAACCTGTGGCAAGCAGGCGGTCTTCACTGTAACAATGTAACTGCTCATGACTAAAACCCAATCTACTATTAATCTTGTAGCTACTGTTAACAGGAGTAAATTTCCAGCTGGCAAAGGACACTTCCTTCTCGGTATTATGTTTAAATGCTTCATGAGCACTCTGCTCTTACAGCTTTTGGACATAATTTGCAAAGACCTCCGGGAAGAAAATTAAGTTTCTAAGGAGCATCTTGACTCTTCACAGCTGTCCTGTCTTACATCAGCCAGTGCTAACTGACCGCACAGTAAGGCAGAGCTCCATTCTCCAAGTAATATTCTACAGACTTCGAAGCTCAATTTCATCTCCTCTTTCAGTCACATACGTACTGCTACAGCACCCAGAGACAGCCCAAACCCACAGTCACGTTCGCTGGCTGTCAGTGTGCATGAATATTAGCACATTCAGCACATTCAGGTCTAAGTCTTAGAAGCCCTTGAAGCTGGAGGAAACCCACAATGAAACAAGACAAAACAAAAAGTAGAAAAACATGTATGGTGAGATAACCATCCAGTTCAAACAGGGAACTAAAGCAAGCGCTTATCAATATGGATCCAATTGTAACAAGAAAAAACACAGCACTTGCCAATAACACAGCACTAAATATTTGCTGCAAGTTTTCATAGCTGGTTCCCTCCATCCAAAGCAAAAAAAAAAAAAAAAAAGTTATTATAATAAGCTATACACAGAAAACCTGAAGGTAAATTACCCTTCATCATTACTATATTGAAATATCATCCAGCATATGATGGCTTCTTATTTAACAAGCTCTTCCGGAATGTAGAATTTGAGAAGACTGGTAAATGTCTATTCTTTTGTCAACTAACTATGCAGAAAAGGCAAAATCATTATTTTAAAGATAACTGTAATAGAGAACTTAGCTTAAAAAACACAAAAGGTGTCACAATCTAGTGTCATGACAGGTTAAATCCATTTCCCCCCCCCCCAGATTCACAGCCAGTGCAAATCCCTGAATGACAGAATGATACCCATTTGCAGTTGTAAAAGAAAAAATAAAAGAGGTTGAATTAATCTTCTGAGCCATGAACAGCCAGGAGGCATGGACCTCAGATCTAGCTGCAAGCTGTAACTTCCTTCACTGCGGTATTACACAGAGCTTTCCTTTTAATGGTACAGCCTAAAATGAAAAAAATTAATTATAACAGCACACTCCCAGCTAATTTCTAAAACGCACAGGTAATCCCTCTACATCATTTCAAGCTCCAGTCTACCAAGAGCGATCAATGACCTGCAGGTTCTTAGTAGGGACGTTATAAAAAGTAAAAAGGAGGGATTTCTTTTCCTGCAAGTAAACACTCTTTACGTATATCTATTCTGCCTAAAATAACTTTACTACCACTCTTACCGAGAGAAGAAAAAAACCCAAACCAACAAAATAAAAAGCCCAAACAAAACCAAAACAAACAAAACCCAAACAAAACCCCACACCACAAACAACCCCACCAAAAATGTTAAAAATCAGCCTTTGTTCCTAATGCACTAATTTGTACCTTCAATACACCCATTGAAGGTTGGACAGATTTAACACCATTAACAACAAGAGTAATAAGAAGATCTTCTCTTTCAATAACAGAAAGAAGCTCTTCTTCTGTTTACATACAGGATATAAAAACCAGAGAAAATATCTTAATTATAATGACATTGAAACAAAGGAAGAAAGTAGCCAAGATACTCTGTAAGGAAGTGCTCACAGGCACACTGAAAGCACACAGCTGCGTCACCCTGTATCAGAGTTGTTATGCTGCAGAACCATCGAAAGAGTAAGAGCAGTCACAGAGACAAGTCTGTTACTACAGGTTTTGATTTTTGTAAAGAAAAAAATGCAAAAGGAAGTGTCTGCACTTCTTTTTGCAGGTGGTCCAAGTCGTCAACCACAGGCCTCCAGTTTCTCTTTGGCAACAGAACAGTAGTAGTTTAGATTAAAGAAGAATTTAGCAAGCAGGACCACACACAGCAACAGAAGGATCAAGAACAGAGAAGATGCAGCCTAGCTTCTCCCTTTACAATTGTTCTTTCTAAATGTCTTTGAATTTAAAAGTCAGTTTCACTGTTATGAGTTTAAAAAACATATAACTCCTTTATGAGCAAGGGTGTCCATATCCCTTCCATTTGTTTTATTAAACCCTTCCAATTTTGTGCCTACACTTCTCTCTGCGATGACAATACCATTACTTTGTTTAAAAGCAAATTCAAGATGTTCATTCTTTACTTGCAAAGCATTCTGAAATGTCTGCATGTGCGTCCTCTGGAAGGTCTTATACATTCACATTCCTGATATCTCACTTACGCAGAAGAAAAAAGATTTCTAAGACCTTACTACATTACAAGTACAGTTTTATATTTGACCTTATTTGCAACTTTTCTGTATTGTAGCATTAAGATATTCATATAAGTATTTAATCTAAAATCATGAGTATACACTGTTAAATTCTATCTTGCCTTAACATAGCTTAGTCCAACAACAGATGACCAAAGAGTGAAGGAAGCACTTACCTGAATTAGAATCTGGAAAAGACAAATAGCAAATATTGGTTTTCTAAAGGGTGGGGAAAAGAAAAGAGCTGTTATATTTCCTGAAATCGTTAAACTAAAAACAAATTACATGTATTTATCTAGGAACCATGACTTACCTCTTTATCTGTGAGTTTTGAATGTGGAGGATATATTACCTACAGGAAAAAAAAAAGTAGTATTTTATTTGTAAATAAACTGGGTACAAGCAGTAAGCTTCTATTAAACACTTCTGTGATATGATACTCCACTACCTGGCTAGTCCTAGGCTATTTTCAGTGGTAAACTGTTAATACTATGTCTCTGTTCTTATATTTCCTATGTTTTTAAGTTAACTTGATCACCTATCTTTACAAGGTATTTTGGATGCCAGTCGGAGACCATAGAGATACATAGAGAATTCAGAGTACTGAGATTTTTAGTGCAACAGGTTTCAAAAGAGAGCAAGATGACATCCTTTAAACTTGTATATACAAAATGCAGCAGATAATTTCATAGAAAGCCAACAAGACATTATTGTCCAAAATCTGTTTCAATGGATAGTTAGGTGGGAGTAATCAAAATTCAATCGCTAAACACTCTCTCTATTAACACTAACTCTTGGAGGGTGAACACATACCCCAAATAAAAGCTGGAAACTGTGAAAGCTGAAGGAATCCACTCAAAAAGCCATAGTTTTTGTACTCACAGAAAGAAAAAAGCAAATTTATTTAATACGGTATTACAACACAGAAATCAAAACCAGTGCAACACAATGCAAGATACGGAAGTACCATCATTTGAAAAGAAAATCTGGATGTACAACATCAGTGATTATGCAAGTAAGTGCAAAAAGAACATACAGGAAAGAGGACAAACCTGAAATATTTCAATTTCAGCTTGAAAGTTCCTCCCCAAATCCTGCAGAACTACTGAAATGCGTGGCTAACTTGTAAGCAAAGGAAGTTCAACATAAATTCAAAGATGATATTTCAAAAAAGGTTTCGGTGCTTCCATAGATGGGAACTTCTCAAAGAACAGAAGTTCAATGCAAGAACACTGACTTCCTCTGGAGCCCTCATATTACCACACTGCTAACATCCAGTTACCTAATTAATCTTGTTTGACAAACATAAGCAAATGTATCTCCTGATAACATAACGCTGTCCTACCCTACAGAAAATAACCAATACCTCCACTGGCTGGCCTCTGACTAAGCAGGCTTTCTATCCCTGGGCCATTAAGTCTCCAATTCATTTATTTTACTCTCAGTCTTTGATCCAATGATATCCAACCATACAACATACTATTATTATAACTAAAGCTAAAAGTAGGCATACAAGTGGAACACCTGCATACTGCAGTTAGTAAACGCATCATCATCTTTTTTAATCTCTTAACATACTCCCATGCTATCATACACCAAGCAGTACACTCAAATGTAACTCTTCCAGCAGGTGAACAATGATGAGCTGCACCTTGTCAGATTACTCAAGTACAGGCCAGCCTTGAATTCATACTCCTTTTGCTCACTAGCTGGTGTATCTTCACAGAATTTCAAGCGAAACTACAAGCTACTCTTCCTGCAGCAACGTAACTGAAAAAAAACAGCCCTTAATTATATAGACATTTTAAGTTTCATTTGTGCATCCATTCAACTAAAATTAATGAGAACTGTTAACAAGAGTTGTCTGCAGACAGGACAGTGGCTACCCCATGCTTCCCTCACCCACCGAGCATGTTACCCACTCAAGTCACAGGTTATAAAGAAATGCTTGTCTTCGTGCCTAACAACACCTTATAACACCGAGTGAATATAACGTGAATAATTAGTACAGTAGGATTGGGTTTTATTTGCATTTCTCTTGCAGCCAACAATGCATCTCAATTATATATTTTAAATATTGTAATAGCTAGCTTGGTTGAATTTTAGACCAGTCTGCCATACAGTTATGCTAGCACCACTTTAACAACAACAAAAAAGAAAGGAAAAAAAGGACATTTTTCCCTGCCCACCAATTGTGCGCTGCACAGTCATCTAGGGAATAGAGTGAAACAGGATGTGAAATTGGTCCCAGTGAAATTCTCCTTTCCAGTTTGTTTTGCAGCCTAATCGGTTCCCCTGTGTGTTTCCGTAAGCAATGTCTCACAGATGTTTGCCTGTTGCACAAAACGGCAAAGAGCAGCAGGATTTCAGCACCTGCAGCCTGCGGCAGTGTCTCAGTCTGGCATCCATGAACGGTGCAAGGAAAATGCTTTGAACATTAGAGAATTTATTTGAAGACCTCAGCGATCTGGAAGAGCCTGTTAATTACGAAGACTACTTACGTTCGCATTGTCATTATTACACTACCTTAAACTCTTAAAAACATCTAGATGCCACGGAAATCAGTGCTATTCGTATACAAAGCGAGAAGATGATGGATGTAAATCAAATCCCGGCACGAGGCGACTCCCCGGCACCCCGGCCGGCACCTCCAGCCCCGGGCTGTGTCTCACCGGCCCGCCGGGC